CGGTAGGTGAACGGTAGGTGAACGGTAGGTGAGATGTGGTAGGTGAGCGGTACCACATTACAAAAGTGTCCTTTTACTTTAGTTCATTAATTGAGGGTCAAAATAACACTATGTATTTACAAACTTTCATATTTACATGCATAGCCCTTAAATCTTCAATATTGTATTCTAAATAATAGCATTATTATTACTTTTTAAAAGTTAAATACACCTTTTCATGCATAGGTTTAAAGCACCAAAGTGTTATTTATGTGAATATGGAAGTTTATGTGTGAGATATGTAAGTACTTTAGAATTGTGTGCTGGTATGTAAATTTCTCTACTTTTGATTAGGCCAAGGCTAACTTATTTTTTCTATACTTGGATTTAGTCTCAAGAGAGCCAAGAGACTTTAGTCTAAAGCCTATAGTTTAACATTCAAATAAGAATTATTGTCGAATTGCTTATAAATTAATTTTTTCTGTAACTTTTTCCCCTCTTTTTACGTGGGCCTACAATTTCTTAGACTATAATCAAACTTACAATGTTGTTTGGATCTCTAAAGTGGGTGGTAAAGACGACACATTTAGCGTGGCAACAATGAGAAGCTAAGTTGGATGTGTGGAATAACTTGAAGGAGTAGATTGAGAAATGATTATATTAGTAGGATGGTGCAAGAAGCATCCATTGAAGATAAGGGAGTGGAAAATAGAATAAAGTGATTTGGACATTTACAAAGGAGTGTATAAGATGTAGCAGTAAGGTAGGTGGGTAAAATTGGCATTTGAATGATTATGAAGAAAAAAAAGATCGACCTAAAGAAACATGGATAGGAGTTTTTCAAAAAAAAAAAAAAAATCATGAATTGACTTTTAACACATGCAATCTTTAGCTAGAATGAATCTAGAACATGAATCTATAAAACTATCTTCAAATAGCTTGACTAGGGCGAACAATGATGATGGCTTGGCTTCAATGTTTTATCTAATTTTAAAGAGCTTTTATTGTCAGTTTTATCAATTATTTCCATTCGTTTTGGTGCTTTATGGTGCATCTTGCTGTGGGAGACCACAAATGTGTGTTTTAGTGCACCTTCTTTTTTCATATTTTATCACTGTAATATACATATATACATACATATATATATATACATACATATATATATATATATATATATATATATATATATATATCTGTGTGTGTGTGTGTGTGTGATAGCTTACTTTTATTTATAGTTTGGAATTTTAGGCTTAAGTTATGTAATCTTGTTCCCATCCAAGCAGATTGCTGCGACGGAAGTGATGAATATCATAGTAAAGCAAATTGTACAAATACATGTTGGGAAGCAGGAAAGGCTGCTAGAGGAAAATTGAAGAAGAAAATAGAAACATTTAAGGAAGGACTTATTTTAAGGAAAGAAATTGTTGAAAAGGCAAAACAAGCATATGTTAAAGATGAGGAAGAACTTGCAAAGCTGAAAAATGACGAGAAGGTGCTCAAAGAGTTGGTGCAAAAACTTAGAGGTGAGGCTTATGAATAAATTTTCTAACTTCATACGCCTGCTGTATTTTGATTGTAAACTTCTGTGGATGTTCTGATATTAATGGAAGCTTGGTGAACTGAAATCTCTAATTTTGTTGCTTACCAAGTTTGTTGGCTGCATGTGTACTATTAGGATGGTCAAAATTTGAAAATTTACTGTTAAGTTACATTTATGTCCAATCATTTTCTATTATTGTTTTTTCTAAAAGTGGAATTTACATATGTTATCCTTGACAGTATGTATCCTGGAGCACATGCTGTTATAGAGCATTAGTGCTTCTTTTGGTAACATTTTCTCTGTTTCCATATTTTATGTGCACAAAAAGGAATACTTGTTGGTGGGTTTTCATTTTCTACTGATACCTATATCTAACGTGCTTTAGTAACTACAGAATTTTTGGCCCAAAAAAAGGTAAATATTGAAACAATCATGTAAAATTATGTCTAAAATTTTTTATATGTAGACTTTTTATTGAATATTTGTACTTTTTTTTTATTTGTGTATTCTTATTTCCTATATTCCAATGCAAAATCATGTTTGAAATAAGAACAGAAACAAAAGAAAATTACATGCCCGAGGCAGCAAAGATACACTGATAAATGACAACTAATTTTAACATTTTATTGGTGTTTTTTATTAGGGAATTTAAATTCTTACGGTATCTCTGTAAGGCAAATGGAAACAACATTGATTCTGCTACTATATTTTGACATTCTCCATGTCCTATATTGTCAAGAATTGTTTTATCATTTATTCAACACTTCAGTTTAGGATTAGGTTCATCCTGTTGGAGAATTAAATTTTAAATATTCCCATCTCTATAATTACGAGGCGCTTCGGGCTTATCTATATAACAGGCCGTGTCTTAGTAACATACTTGGTTAACTTGCATCAGAGCAAAAGGAAAGAGTAGATAAACTTGAGGAGGAAGAACGATTGAAAAAGGAGAAGGAAGAAAAAAGATTGAGGGAAGAGGAGGAGAAATCCAAGGAGCAAGAGAAAAAAACAGAGGAAACTGAACATGATGACACGATCGATAATCATGATCAGGTTAGTGTGATCCTTATTTTTCTATACAGCTAGTTTAATTCTGTTTTAAATCCTCCCTTGGAGCTGCAGTTATGTGATTCTCAATGACTAATTATTGTTGTTCGCACAATCAAGATTTATGAGAAGAGATCATTTGTACTTGTTTAGCATGTGCAGAATATGTTGAACTTCTCTATCAGAGCATAGTGTTATTCTTGTCGGCCTTGCATGTCTGGGCAGGATATCCTAATTGCGGTGCTTTTACTTCATATAAGCAATGCCGTGGTCTTGATGAGAAAGGCTGTAGTTAATTGAATAGACAAAATTAGCAAGTTAACCGCGATTTAATTTATGAACGAGAAAAGTGTCAAAATAGTCTCGTCTCTTTGCAGTGGGTCATTTTAATCATGGAGTCTATAAAGTACCAATTTAGTCCCCAAAATTTTTATTATGAGTTGAAAAGTCTTTATGGAAGACTATTTCAGCCTCAATTTAAAAAGTACGGGGAGTAATTTGACATTTTATAAACTCTAGGACTAAAATGATCCCATTTAAACAATGAGATGACTATTTTGGCACTTTACTAAATTATATCTATATGAAACCTTGAATGTGTTAGGCTTATATTCGTTGATACAACAAACCTTGAGATATGTTAGAATAGAACCATACACACGCATTACCTTAAACACGGCTGCTTATGTTAATGTAGTTGTGTGTAACAATCCATCTAAAGCTTCTTCACATACACCCAAAAGTAAGCAATGTCATCACAGGGACATATTCTTATTTGCTTTCACAAATTGTTGATAATAATGGTGGTATATTACTCAGTGTCATGTTTTTATTTCACTTCTGTTAATGCTTGGAATTACAGGGCATTATGCAGTCTGAGAAAGAAGTGGTTACATTTTTATCCAATGCTACCTATTAGAATATTGGCCTAATTATTAGGCCAATTATTGCTGCAGTTATTATTAACTTTTATTTGTTATCCTTTTTTTTTATTTCTATATTTATGTATTTCCTAATTAGTTTATTTCTGAATTTATGTTTTATTTGGGTCTTGTAATATGTATTTATACCTCTTTTCCTATCAATGAAAGTTTGCAGCTCTATTCTCAAAAGTTGATAACTGACAATTTTTTATCCTTGTATATCACAAAATTTTCCCTTTATGCAGTTTCTGTATTTCATTTTCCTTCATGCATCTCTACTGAATTCCCACTGTGTTTTATCGTTCAGTTTCTGTATTTCATGTTCTTTCATGCATCTCTATTGAATTCCCACTGTTTTATCGTGCGCAATTAATACAGGATGGATCAAAAAGCAGTCCTGATATTGAAATTGAATCTGGGGATGATAGCAGGGAAAGTAAAACGGCTAGCCATGAGGCAGTGGAGCAGGTACTCACTTATTTCTTTGTTCGAGCTTTCTTCATTTGTATTCCTTCTAATTAATTCTCTTTCCTCATATGAAGCATGCTGGTGAAGAGCATGATGATATTTTGGAATCCAGTGATGATTTTTCAGAAGTTGGTGAGATATCTCCTAACGAGGTACCCAAACAGGTAGCGGAGATTGCTTTTGCTGATCTTGACTTTGTTTTATGCAAGTTTATGCTATTAGCATATTTTTGAAGAGAGATATATGGTGCTGTTTAGTTAAAACACTTGTTGAGGTTTTTATAGTTTTAAATAACTCATTTCGTATATCTTTTAGTGGAATTTACATGAGGATATTTGTGGTCCTCTGCTTGGGTATAGTGGGAGATGAATTGGATATTGATCATATGTTTACCACATCCAGTTCCATGTTCTTTAATCTTTACTTTCGAGGACTGAAGATATTTATTAGCATTAATTTTTAAAGTTTTGTCAAATTTATGCTGTTTGGAATTAATAATAGATTTAAGTTACAGTGCTAAAAGGAAGTTTGTTTGTCAATATCGTGTTTGCAAAGATGGATGAGTTTATCTTTAAATGTATTCAATGTGTTCACGAAGGCATGGAAGGGTATTTTTCACATAAATCTAAAATATTTATTTGGTAAAAGTGATATACCCAATAAGAGACCCAATATATTTGCTAGAATACAATATTTAGATTTGTGTTTGTATAAATTAATCTCATTAGATTTTATCCTTTTGTTGTTCTCCATATAATTATAGTTTTGGGTTAAATCTCAAAATGATCCCTCAATTATTTGAATATGGCCAGTTTATTCTTAGAGGATCACATTTCTCTAATTTAATTTCTTGGTTATTTAAAATTGATCCAAAATGGTCACTCAGGGGCTAAATCAGAATCCATTTTATTTCACAATTCCTACGTGAGGGACTATTTTGAATAAGTTTTGTATAGTTGAGGGATGAAATTGATTATTTTTGAATAATCAGGGGAACTACTTTGAGATTTAATCTTTCTATCTCTCTTATGACGGGTCTTTATGCGATCGAGTTAATGCATTTTGTGAGTTTCTTTTGCTTATAATTTCATGCTTCATACCCTTTTAACCAATATTATTACATCTATCTGAAGAAAAAACGTGGGAGGGAATTTTTACTCAATTCTCTATTATTAATCTTCAACCATAAGGCTACATTTATAGGGAAATCATTCTCTCCTAATTTATAATCTTTTCAAATATATATAGTCTAAACATGAAAAGGAAATAATTCTGAAATAAACATAAATAGGAAGAGAATAAAAAATTAATCATACAGTTACCCAAACTATCTCTAGTTAATCCATCAATCACTTCTCGGATGGTTGGCCTATGCCCGCCATAGAAAGGAAGCCGACCATCATAGATTTTAACACGCCCCCTCAAGCTAGGTCATAGATGTTGTGGAGACCAAACTTGTTTTTAAACTCTGAAAATTTGCTGAAAGTAAGAGTTTTGGTGAAGACATTAGCAACTTGTTGGTGTATCGGGATATAACTAGCTATATAATTCCAACATTAACTTCTTCAGAGATAAATTGCCTATCAATTTCAATATGTTTGGTATTGTCATGATGCACATGGTTCTTGACAATATTGATAGCCACTTGACTGTCACATAATATTTATATAGGCCTATTAGAGGTACATATCAATTCTCTAAAAAATTTTTGAATACAAATCCCTTCATAGATTCCTAAGGCAAGTGCTCTAAACTTAGATTCTATACTGCTTCTAGGGACAATAACTTGCTTCTTACTTCTTAATGTGAATAGATTTTTTCATACATATGAGCAATAACCTGTGATAGACCTTCTATCAATGGATTCCCCAACCCAACTTGCACAAATGTAGACTTTTACCTCTCTATTTTTGATTCTCTAAAAAATTAATCCATAATTAGAAGTCTTCTTGAGAAATCTGAGGATCTTGTACACCATCTCCAAATGCCCTTCATTTGGGTTATTTATATGTTGGCTCACAATATGATAGAGTATGCAGTGTAGGGCCTAGTATATGATAGATAAATGAGTTTTTCTGCCAATAGTTAATATCTTCCCTTAGCCACAAATATATTTTCTTCTCCCCTATTGACTTCTTTTCGGGATCACAGGTTTGCATCCAATTATCTTTTTCTCCTTTAGCAAATCTAGGATGTATTTCGTTTGCGATATAACAATGCCTGTCTTGGACCTTGCTACCTCCATACATAGAATATATCTCATGGTTTCTATGTTCTTGATTTTAAACTCAGTGATAAACACTTTTTTAATTTTAAGAATTTTTCTTTCATCGTCACCAGCAAGAATGATATCATCTACACTGGACAGTAATCTTACCCCCTTGTGTGTTTTAAATAATTTATGATCAACTTCTTCTAGAAAATATCGATTAGTTCTCATGGTTTTAACAAATCTTTCAAACCATGCCCGTGATTGCTTAATTCCATAAATAGACTTATGGTGTTTGTAGACTAAGTATTTGTTGAAATCATTCTTAAGTTCTGGTAATATCTTTATGTATTCTCTTTCTTCAAGATCTTTATTTAGGAATATATTTTTTATGTCAATTTGATACAGTCCCCACTCCTTGTTGACGACTATTGAGAGAACTTTGATAGTCTTTAGTTTGGCAATTGGTATAAAGGTTTCTAATAGTAAATCCCATAGGCTTGAGTGAAACCTTTTGCTACCAGTCTACCTTTGAACCTTTCACTGCCACCATCAACTCTGAACTTGATATTAAATACCCATTCATGTGTCATTATGCTTTAATGTATGAATCTCCTCTTCCGCAACTTTTCTATTTTGAATTCTTAAGAGCTTCATGAATGAAATTAGGAATCTACATTTTATCAAGGTTGATATACAAATTTTCATGAGCTTCGATCACACTTTTACAGGGTGAGGATAGCTTCCCATAAATTACGTACTCCTGAACTTGGATATTTAGTGCATTTTTCCTTGTTATCAACACTAGAAGAGGAATGAGATAACTCATGAGTTCCATACTCCTCACCTGAAATTTTAGGTGCGTGTGGTTCGGTTTTTGGCTTGAGTATTTCTATCTTTACAGGTTGTCTTCCATCTGCTCAAGATTTTTCTTCTTTCTTGTGTACACATGCTCTTTGTTATGAACTTTAGGTTGGATTGGTCGGACATTTTCAAGTAGTATATTTTCATGCAGTGGTATTTGGGAGATAGAAGGGCTGGGTGGAAGAGTGGTAAGTTGTAAGACAGTGTAGGTGTCATTAAGTGCATCGTGAAAATGATTTTCATTTGTACTCTCCCCTTGAACAATAGGTTTGAGATAGTATGGTTTAAAAAAAAATGTAACATCCAAGTAGTTATAGTATTTTCTGGTAACATGTGAGTGACACTTATAGCCCTTTTTTGTTGGAGCTATACACAAGATAGATTTTGGATCAAATTTTGTGCGGTTTGAGAAATATTTATGAGCAAAAGATACACACTTAAAAATTTTTAAGTGGTATAGTAGAAAAGAAAGCACTGTTGTGGAGATATGTTCCATCAAGGTATGAAGTGTTTTGAAATTATGTATCAGGCTTAACATTTGATTGATAAAGTATGTTGAAGTAAGAATTGTTTCCTCACAAAAATATTTTGGAGCTTAATGAGAAATCATAATTGAATGAGTTACCTGAAGAAGATGTATGTTTTTTCTCTCATTTATCTCATTTTGTTGTGGGGCATGAATACTTGAACTCAAATGAATGATGCTATTTTTTAAAAAATGAGATCCAATGATGGAGTTGAAATATTTTTTTGCATTATTAGTGTTGAGGATTTGAAGTTTGCATTGGAATTGAGCTTGAATCATCTCATAGAAATTTTGGTTGTTTCTTTCTCCTTCATTTGAAGTACTCAAGTGGTTCTAATGTGACCGTCAATGAATTGACAAACCATCTAGCCCCAACTTATAGTTCTTACTTTTGAAGGTCCCCAAATATTAATTTGGATAATCGAAAAAGGATTTGAGGGTTTGTACTAGGTCATGTGATAAACATTCTAGTGTGTTTTGAAAAGTTGACAAATCTCTCACATTGATAAGTATTAGATTTTTTATTGATAAATAAATTAGGATGCAACTTTACAACATAATTGAAATTAGGCGTCAATGCAATAACATGATTTGTTTTTCAATAGACATAGTCTCAACAAACTCAGAGACTTGAGGAAAAGGTTGGACCATTTATGTGTTTATAAAGAGACTTTACTTGTGCAAATATATGCTTTTATACATTTCAGCAATGCCCATTATTTACCACCAAAATTCATAAGAATTTGCAAAAAAGTTAGTTATACATTTTCTATCATGAGTAAGTTATTGAAATTAAATTACAATTCAATTGTGGAATATATAAAACAAAGGAAAGAGTAATATGTTGAGCTTCACATCTCCTTCTACAATATTTTTTTTTAGTTTGATCCATCTGCAAGTTTGACAGATTTAGATGTAGAAGCCTTTTGATAGTTGGTTTGAGCATTGATGTTTCCAATCATATGATCAAAAGCTCTTGAACCTATGATCCAATGTCTAAATCATCCTTTGCCAGCAGGATAGGAGAATAATATATTTTCTTTGCATGTAGTGAGGTTGGTTTGTTGTTCTGAATTACCCCCAAGGAGTTTTTTTTCAGTACTTTGAGTTGTTACTTGGTTAATGGGTAAGCCGACCCTTCAGATGAGTGACAACATTAGTGTTGCTCTCTTGATCTTTGCTTGTCAAGGTTTCTAATTTGCAGATTTTCTATGAAATTTCACATATTTATCTTTGAGGTGCCCAATTTTCTTGCTATAGTCACATGTGGGACGATTCTTTTTGAATTTTTGACTCATGGGAATAATTATGGGAGTACAAGGCTGAGCTTTCAGCTCTTGATGAACTCTCATTTTCAGTCATCACGAGCTTCTTTCTACTCTCTTATCTTCTAACTTCAGCAAAAGCTTCACAGGCAGATGGAATATGCTTTGTTCCTATGACGCTCCCTCTCACTTCATCCAATTCTTTAGTTAGTCCCACTATGAATTTGAGTGTGAATTGAGGTTATTATATTATTTATATTTTACTTTAGTATGTAATTAATACATTTGTCTTAGGAGAATCTTAACCTAATTTGCCTTTAGTTGGTACACTCTCTGTTAGCACAATAGAGCCCAGCTTATAAATCTATTATTGTATGAGGCAAAAAGAAACTCATATTTGACTTATACTCGGCAGGGTACAATTTATACATCTATTATTGTTTGAGGTGAAAAGATTTAAATTTTAAAATACGAGACATGCAATCCCAACTAGTACTTTAAGGGAGCAATTCCATGTTTATACATGGGCTCATAAGCATACATAGATATTATTTCTTTTTCATTCTTCTAAACATACTGACACAGAGTGCATCTGGACTGTTTTGGTCAAAGTTTCTGGGGGGCAGGCCGGCCCTTTAAGCCTTGAAATTGCCACCCAACTAGTACTTTTATGGTGTTTACGGTTTAGTTTTTGCTGTGATTTGTTTCAGGGCAGTTGCCTGCATCTCTTTTCCCCCAACTGGCTGTATCCTAAAATTCTAAGTGGTGTTCCTGGCTGTATCTTGGTCTTCAAGTGATGTTTGTCCTTTCTATAGCTTTTCTCCGTCCCTTCCTGCATCTCTTTTACATCCCTTTCTCTGTTTTCCTTGCTGCCGCCACCCGAGTCAGCATTCCCAGCTGCTGTCCTCACTGCTAACTGCCTCTTCCTTGCTGCCGCCACCTTCCGCCTTCCTGCTGTTACCCTCTAGTTTTCTGGCCGACCACCTTACTACCTCCCCGAAGGTCCAAATTTCTAGTCGGCAACACCTCCACCCTAGATTCAACCCTAACACAGGTGTTATGTTATTTTTTTGTTGCAATTTCACATTTCCTTGTTGTTTGTGTAATTTTTAAAAATTTGAATTCAGTAATAATATTTACTTTACCTTGGATGCTTGTTAAATTTTGATATCACATACACTATATGTTTATAAGGAATGCC